TCACCAACTCTATAACATTCCTCTACAATTCATCAAACTACACCATTATAAAAGAGTTCACCACACACACACACACACACACTCTTCTACCCACACAACACAAAAACCCAATCTACCTAATGCACTCTGCAAACATCTCATTCCTTCATCTGACAAAGCACTTAATTAACTCTAGAAACTAACAAAGAGAGATCACGTCAAAGCAAGCCCAGAAAATCAGACTGCACGTCATCGATTTTGGCGACGGCAGGTTAGTTTATTGGATATTATTTACAGCAACAAATAAATAAACACAAAACTGCTTCTCTTCATATAGAAAAGTATGTACACAATTATGCATGCACCCAAATCACACACACGTCTGGTTTATCAATCAAATGGGCTTTATCCATCCCTGCATATAAATATATATATACCTATACATATACATACATACATACATACATACATACACATAAACACAAATTCGATGTGTATGTGTGTATATATATATATATATAAATATATAAATATACAAATATACAAATATTAAATATCTCTTGCTCTTGCTCTTGCTCTTGGTTTCACTCTCACTTTCTCTAAACATACAAAACAAACAAGCTCTCTTTTTTATCAATAAACCAAAGAGGCATAAGAAACACATTAGCACAGAACCAGAGTTGCATTAAATCCTGTGAGTATTAATAATCAGTAACCATTAAAAGTAATTTCATACTGTGGTGGTATTTCAGTGAAGCAATGAGACCAAAAAAAAAAAATATACAGCAGAACTTCAATCAAGTCCAAAAGTATTTTCTCTATCTAGGGAATAATACGTTCTAATTAATTGGTGTTACAATTTTTTTTTTTTCTCTCTCTCTCTGTTCACTGAATTATCCCACATAATCAACATAGCCATCATGGAAACCTATCTAATTAACACACTCAAACTGTCAAAGTGGCAATCCTATCCAATGGCATTATATGTATCAAAATGTCCATGTAATTAGGTATGTATGTTTTTGTTTTTTTTTATTAATCATGCAATTATCATCAATTACACCAGTTAATAACCTAGTCATAATATTAACAACCAGGACTCTACAGGAGACACAAGTTCACATCACAGTTAAAAGGGGGAATAAAGGGAGACAAATACCACAAATAAAAGGCATAAAAAAATAAACATGAAAGAGAACAAGACAAAATATCTATACTTAAAGGGAGTAAATGTAAAGATAAAGCCCTGGCTGTATTTCTATCTATATGTTGTGTGTGTGCGTGTGCGTGTGCGTGTGCGTGTGCGTGTGCGTGTGCGTGTGCGTGTGCGTGTGCGTGTGCGTGTGCGTGTGTGTGTATATTGTGTGTGAATATATGTATGTATGTATGTATATGTATGTATGTATGTATGTATGTATGTATGTATGTGTGTGTGTGTGTGTGTGTGTGTGTGTGTGTGTGTGTGTGTGTGTGTGTGTGTGTGTGTGTGTGTGTGTGTGTGTGTGTGTGTGCGTGTGCGTGTGGGTGTGTGTGTGTGGTATAGCTTATACATGAACAAGCTCTTTCAATACACAAATGAAAGCAAGAGCACTAATACAGAAAAAAAAAATAAACATAATTACGAAAAAGAAAGGAAGGAGAAAAAAATAAAAAAATTAAAAAAAACTCCTGAAGCAGTAATAAAAAAATACAAAATAAAAGTAAAGAAAAAGAAAAAAAAGAGGGGGAAAGATCATGCACTACACACTAAGGCAAGCCAGCTAACACTTACCTAAAGACGCCTGAGAACCAAAATCCCCGCTTCTCTTTAAACCTAAAGGAAAAAAAACAAGTGGAAAAAAGGTGTGCCAGCTCGAGTGAAACGGGGAAGACGAGGAGCAGTGTCAACCTAACTAGGAGAGACATGGCTGAGATTCTTTTGTTTTTTTTCTTCAATTTTTTTTAATTTGTAGTGTCTTTTTTTGAGTTTTATCTCCATAGTTAAGAATTTTGCCTATGCAAATTTCCTACAATGACATTATGATCACTTTTGTGATCTACTACTTAAGTTTTTTTTCTTTATTCTTTATCTCAAATTAGGCAAGGAACTCAAAAGCCAAAAAAACAAACAAAACAAAATCTATTCAATTGCAGACGAAAATGCAACTTGAAATTCATTCCAAATGGTCCCCCAGATACCATCAGCCACATGTCTCGTAATAATAACGACAAAAGGCAAGCACAGATGGTAAAAAGTAGAAAGGCCCCTCTAGTTCATTAGCACAAAAAATATCTTTTAGAGAAAAAAAAATAAAAAAGGAAGTAACGTTAAATGCTAGATGACTATTTAAAGAACTAGGAAAGCATCGTTGTGCATTTGCGTAACAATAAGAGAACTATCAGTGAAGCGGCTTTGTGGCCAAGTATACATCTTTTAATGGTTGATGGCAACCTATGCTATTTGACAGGGAAAACCAATAATACTCCTAAATTACATGATCAAATTTGCAACTAAAGATACATCACTTTAGGGAATGTTCAATAAGGGATTTTGGAGATCTTTTGCATCAAGATCTGGAATAATAAATCCAAGTAAAATTTCATGTCTTTGATATATCAATTTCAAATCAGTGGGTTAAATAATTCATGAATTCCCTCCTCTCATTATAGAACACACGGGAATTTTCATGCCTTCATATGTTAAACTATGAAGTGATAATTTCCCAAAGATTGACACACTTAATCTAACGGCAAAATGGGTTCCGATTCAATGACATAATGAAAGGCAAAAACTAGGCTAACCCTTTCTACATGTTCTTCCATAATCACGCAAATCTGCTTCTACTGATGTACAACTTACTGATGCTAAAAGTGAAAAAACCATATGCATATACCATACATACATATACATATATATGCATAAAATATACTGATATACATATATGTATGTATATGTATATGTATATATATATATGTATGTATATGTATGTTTATATATACATATATTTATGTATATATACACATATACATATGTATATATCTATAAACACACATATATATGTATATATGTATACATATGTGTATATGTATAAATACATATACATAGATATATATGTATATATACATATATATACATATACATGTATATATACATATATGTACGAATACACATATATACACATAAATAATATACATATACATATACATATACATATACATATATATACATATACATGTATATATTCATACATATATATATATATACATATGCATATATATATATATATACATAAGCATATATATATATATACATATATATATATGTATATACATATATATATGTATATTCATATATATATACATACATATACATATATACACATAATATACATACATATACACATATATGCATACATATATATATACATACATATGCATATACATACATATACATGTACATATAATATATATACATATACATATGTATACATATGTATACATATATATACTTTCATATACATACATATACATATATATATATATTTGTATATAGACAGACAGAAGTAGATAGATAGATAGATAGATAAGCCTAGACTCTGCCTTTATAATTTATTTATGTTTTGAAGGAAGGATCAATGTCACTCCTTTATGCTCTCCAGTGAGCCTAAGTCTAAAGGTGTTTTTAATGAACTTTTATTTTGCAAAGAAAAAGTATTAGGAAAGTTAGAACTCTTCTAAAAGGGCAAAGCTTAACCAGTAAGTGTTGAAAATAAAAATTTATAAAAAAAAAAAAAAGTGCTATACTGTGCAACTAAAAAGAAGACACAGAGCACACCTGTTCCACCACACCACTTTACATAAATCTTTAGAAAATTTATATCAATAGATCAGTGCCACATGCTCTTCTTTAGAAATCAAATTTTAAAAAAATTTAGTACAACTGAAAATATACAGTTACAATCAACAATTTTTACATCCGATTCCATTATAGGATACGATACGAAAATTTGACGTACAATCATATAAATTTCCAATTCAAAACAAAAAATCAGAATATGTACACTATATGAAAAAAACCTTTTCTGGTCTGTTTTCTACATGAAGGTACAAACCTCCAAAAATTTGTTCATGGTGCAGTGGAATTAGTAAAAGAGGGGGGGGGGGGGGTAGTTGGGAGGGGAGGGGGAGAAAATAGCCAAGTTTAACATGTACACACTGAGAAATTTACAACAACAAAAAAAAAAAACAGTCATAGACCATCACAGTTTCTAAATATGTGACACTGAAGGCAGTCTTTTCAAGAAGTGAGACGGTTGGGAGGCAAGGGTAGGGAGGGAGGGAAGGAGGGGGAGGGGGGAGGAGAAGAAAACAAAACGAATGGCAACAAACAGCCAGATAACATGAGATAAGGAGAGGGGAGAGGGAGGGTAGGAGGGAGGGAAAGGAGAAATTGGGAGCTTTAAAAAATGGACCATAACGACAAATCCTCATTACCAATTTACCGTTGAGCCAAGGACCTCCCTCTCTCAGGCTGATTCTGATGCAACATCAACACAAACAAAAGAAGACAGAGACAAGCACAATCTTGCTCTGGATTTAAGGCGTTAAACAAGGAATACATTAAAAAGTGGAGGAGGAAGGGGTGGTGGGGGGAGGTGTCGGAGGGGAGAGGAGAATCAATGGGAGGGGAGGGGGAGAGTGGAGGGGAAAAAAAACAATTTCTTCCCGTTATGGTGCAAAAACAAGGCATACTTGCTGTGGGGTGCGTGAGCCTTCAAAGGAAACGTGAAAACGATTAAAAAGGTGGAAGAGCAAAACAGAAATCTTCTCAAAAATCATTTGGAGGAAGACGGGGAGAAGGTCACAGGAGGTAGGACATGGGAGGGAAAAGAAAGTCCTGACTAGTAAGAGTAAGAAAGCTCAGGTATATAAGTAGGCATGGGAGGGGGAGTAAGATCAGGAGTGGGAGTGGGAGTGGGGAACAGGACGGAGATGGAGATGCAGCTAGGTGTGGGATCCAGAGGAGTAGGAATAGGAGGAGGAGTAGGACTAGGAGTAGGACAAGGAGGAGGAGGAGGAGGAGGAGGAGGAGGAGGAGGAGGAGGAGGAGGAGGAGGAGGAGGAGGAGGAGGAGGAGGAGGAGGAGGAGGACTAGGAGTAGTAGGAGTAGGAGAAGGAGTGGGAGTAGGGATTTGGAAGGAGGAGAGGTGTGTCCAAGCCTTACCAGCCCTGTCATCTGCATCGTCGTCTGGAAATAGGTCTACAACGGGATCATCACTTTTGTCTTTCTTTTCCTCCATTGATGACTCTGAGTCCTGGAAATCAATGCAAAAGATTACACACAATATGCAACATGCCTAGTCAATAAAAATTACAACAGAAACAAGTGAGAAACAAAAGGGAAAAAAAAAAGAAAAAAAAAATCCACTTTACAGAATTATACAAACAATATACGGACAGAAACCCGAGACATTCCTAATCCGAGATCATCAACCATGAAAAAAAATATCTCGGAGGACAAACACCTCAAGTTATTTTTCAAAAAAAAAAAAAAAAAAAAAAATCATGCACACCAAAGAGAGGGGGAGAGAGAAAAAAAAAAAAAATCCAGCAAAGCACGTAGAGAGGGAAAGTCCCTGCCCCCCCACCCCACCCCCCTACGTCTCTCTCTCTCTCTCTCTCTCTCTCTCTCTCTCTCTCTCTCCTCTCTCTCTCTCTCTCTCTCTCTCTCTCTCTCTCTCTCTCTCTCTCTCTCTCTCACCTGCACATCGAGAGACAAACTCCCTGCCCCCCCCACCCCCCTACGTGTCTCTCTGTCTCTCTCTCTCTCTCATCTGCACGTCAAGAGCCAAAGTCCCTGCCCCCCCCACCCCCCTACGTCTCTCTCACCTGTACCTCGAGAGCTAAAGTCTCCCCCCCCGCCCCCCGGGTCTCTCTCTCTGACTTGCACGTCAAGAAGCCAAATTCCCTGCCCCCCCCCCCCCCCGCCCCTACGTCTCTCTCTCTCACCTTTACCTCGAGAGCAAAAGTCCCTGCCCCCCCCCCCCATGCCGCTAGGTCTCTCTCTCTCTCTCACCTGCACATCAAGAGCCAAAGTCCCTGCCCCCCCCCCCCCCCATGCCCCTAGGTCTCTCTCTCTCACCTGCACATCAAGAGCCAAAGTCCCTCCCTCCCCCCAGCCCCTAGGTCTCTTTCTCTCACCTGTACGTCCGCATCATACTTCTTGATGGTGGACATGAACTCGAGGTGCTTTTTGTCTTCCTCCAGCTGTGCCACATGCTGCTCGGAGGCCTGCAGCTTCTGCTGGGTGGAGGCCAGCTCGTCCCGAAGCCACGCGTTCTCCTGGCAGAGTCGCCGGACCTGTGCGCGCAGCTTCTGTTTCTCAGCCTCGACCGTCTGCAGGTGGGAGGCAAGTGCCAGCATAATCTGAAAAGAACACAATGTCAGTTAGCGTTCTTTGCCAAGGCCAAATGCAACAAATTTGCTTTTTTAACTAAATAAACAATGAAACAGAGGTGACATTCAAGATATCAATAATATTCACAAAATACTTTTACCAAGATAACATTACAACAAAAAATAATAATATTAACATCATCATCATCATCATCATCATCATCATCATTATCATTATCACTATCACTAAACTAAACAAACAATAACTATAACCCTAACCCTGATCAATTATAATCATAGTTATAATCATAATAAAAACAGTAACAATAATAATAACAATAATAATAACAATAACAATAACAATAACAATAACAATAACAATAACAATAACAATAACAATAACAATAACAATAACAATAACAATAACAATAATAATATCCATACTAATGCTAATAATCATCATAACAATAACTGATGATGATGATGAGGAGGAGGAGGAGGAGGAGGAGAAGGAGGGAGAGGAGGGAGGAGGAGGAAGCAGGAGAGGAGGGAGGAGGAGGAAGCAGGAGAGGAGGAGGAGGAGGAAGCAGGAGAGGAGGAGGAGGAGGAAGCAGGAGAAGAGGAGGAGGAGGAGGAGGAGGAGGAGGAGGAGGAGGAGGAGGAGGAGGAGGAGGAGGAGGAGGAGGAGGGGGAGGGGGAGGGGGGAGGGGGAGGGGGGAGGAGGAGGAGGAGGGGGAGGAGGAGGAGTAGGAGGGAGAGGAGGAGTAGGAGGGAGAGGAGGAGGAGAGGGAGAGGAGGAGGAGGAGGGAGAGGAGGAGGAGGAGGAGGGAGAGGAGGAGGAGGAGGAGGAGGAGGAGAGGAGGAGGAGGAGGGAGAGGAGGAGGAGGAGGAGGGAGAGGAGGAGGAGGAGGAGGGAGAGGAGGAGGAGGAGGAGGAGGGAGGAGGAGGAGGAGGAGGAGGGAGGAGGAGGAGGAGGGAGGAGGAGGAGGAGGGAGAGGAGGAGGAGGGAGGAGGAGGAGGAGGAGGGAGGAGGAGGAGGAGGAGGAGGAGGAGGAGGGAGAGGAGGAGGAGGGAGAGGAGGAGGAGGAGGGAGGAGGAGGAGGAGGAGGAGGGAGAGGAGGAGGAGGAGGAGGAGGAGGAGAGGAG